ATAATGCTAAATGTTAGTACTCTATACGTCCAGCATGCTTATCATTAACATATCTATTGCTTATATTTTATTCCTATCCCACTCCACAGTGAAGTTTGTAGAAGGCCATTTCATAGATAGATATGATTAAAATATACACTAAATGACCTGACAAGCAAGTTCCTGTGGAAAAGGGACATCCTGTTTTAATTATGGAAGATAGAGCTGACATTAATTAAAATGAAAATGCAAGTAGTATTACAAACAATTACTCTATATTAAGCTACATAATACACCTCGAGACCACTCTAGAATATACTCTGTAGGTAGAACTACTCCGTACCACTAAACTACCAATTTGCCTGCACCCAACCCCCTACCCCCGGGCCCCCAGCCCTTTCCACCCCTTTCCCTTAGTTATATTGGTGGAGTCCATGCTCTACTAGCTAATCAACAATGCCATGCCTAGTCCCTAGATAGTATCTAGCATCTAGCTACGATCTACCCTACTCCGTATTTGCAATACCCGTAGGTCCACAATGGCTGGAACGGTGGAGACCGATTCTTCATGTACACACTAAGGTTACAAGGTAGAGTGACCAGACTACTGCCCGGATACGGAGTAGTTCTAGGTACCTTAAGCAGTTGAGGGATAGTACTAGAAGGTAGTGTCTGGATATAGAATGTTGCCAATTAGAGTCTTATTTCCGAACCTCGAAAACTGTACGGAGTACATTGTTGCCTACTCTGTGGACAGGAGGAGCGAGGTAGGAATTTTGAATGCCCTTACTAATGAGGAAGGAGCAAAGAAGGACAACCAAAAGGGAGGGAAAGGAGGGCAGAGGCAGGATTTTGGGCGCAAGGGGGCGGCGAGAGTGAAGTTGGATGCAGATTCTAAAGGCAAGGTACAAGTAGATAGGTCGTAACTCCATAGCATAACAAAGTGTAGATAGTACTAGTACCAGTGCCAGTACTAGGAGCAGCAGCAATTAAGGTTGTAAATAAATATATATACTAAAGTGACCTGGAAAGTCACAGAAGTGAAACCCCCCGTGCCTTGTTGTACCTACCTAGAACATATTTTAGACTATTTAGCTAGACGTATAATTTATCTACATGAGGGGTGCACATCATCATCTTAAGGTAAAATGATGATAATTAGTGCCATCATATGATACAAAGTACTGGCACTTAAGTAGGTAGCAAGATACCGGTACTATCCTACCTATTACTGTTGTTTTGTTCAAGAGTCAAGGATATATTAGACGCCTGTTCTGGCTTCTGTTTCTGTTATCCATTTAGGGAGGTCTGACGCGTGACGCGGACGCGTCATACCATACCATACCACCCCGCGGGTTCCGCGACAGTCAACATCCCAGAAGTGATGCACATATCCTTCCTTCCATTCCACAGTCGACTAATTATAACAAGGGAATAGTCAACCATCTTCATTTACGCCCCACCTTTCCTGGGCTGGACACAGTCCTGCCAGTTAACGAACCAGACAGGGATCTGATATAGAGTCGAGCCCCGTCTTCCCGACCGTCTCTCCTCCCTGCCCACCTGGATCTGTTTCTCTTCCCTCGCTTGAATTGCCTTCAGGTCCCAAGAAACGCCTTGAACCAGTTCTTACTTGATCAGACGTGCTCAAGAGATTTCCCTGCTCGCTACAACACCCCACGAAGCCTTCTTTCAAACCCTTCGTGGTTTCGATGCCATTTTGTCTTGGGCCGCGCTCTCAATGAGTCCTTGTTAGCGCCTTGGAGCCCAACTCACCGATTCTCCTCTTTCACCACCTGATTCTACCAGTAGGACTTCTCTTCTGCTATCATCATTCTATTTACCCTAGGCGTTATTACCTGGTTCTGGTTGATTTCATGCGCCAGCCACTGTCTTTGAAATTCTAGTTTGACGAGGTGCTTCGCGTCCCCACCTCAGAAACACTTGTCTGCTATTATACCCTTCTCTTGAGAGTGCGCGCATTGCAACTGGCAATAGTCTTCTTCTCATTGTGATTAGAATTTGGACGCCACGAAAGCGGGTGCAGTTCCCTATTGCCAGTCAGTCACTGGAGATGGATCCCACGCGTTCCGGGCCCTTTGTGCCGCCACTTTCAGCACTGGCTGCGGAGCGCGACAAAAAGGCTTTTCAATCCCATTCTGAGCATCTTAGTCCATCATGTTCATCGTCGCTACCCTTGCAGCCACCCGAGAATGTTCCCCCCGGTCAAGAATGCATACTTGATCCGCCAGTCTCCAGCGCTCATAGACCGTCTCCCATGAAGACGCCTCGTGGGCTGAAAACGTCGCTTTCCGGCCGTCGCGAACTGGGCTTCATTCCCATAACAGCTCCGGCTCCGCCGAAGTTCACAACAGACTCGCCAGCTAAGAGGACTCCAAGTACTACATATCCGTACACTACCTCTTCGTCTTCGGCAATGCCTCAATCTGCCTTATTCACAACCTTTCCCAGCGTCAATCATGGAAAACAGTCCTCCAAGGAGAAGCGACAATTGGCTGAATCTTGTAATGACAACTTCGCCGATTTCCCTGAACCATCCTTTGCATCGAAGCCTCTGAAGAGGACCCTCATGGATGCTGCCCCATTGAAGGAACGAACGATCAAGAAGCAGAAGCGCGAAGATGGCGATGTTACGCGACTTCCGAGTCCCCAAGAGATGACCCCCATTGAAGACGATGGCACAAAACCTCCTTATAGCTATGCGACCTTGATAGGAATGTCTATTTTACGTGCGCCTAACCGACGTTTGACTTTGGCTCAAATATACAAATGGATCTCAGATACGTTTTCTTATTACAAACACAGTGATCCTGGGTGGCAGAATAGCATTCGTCATAACCTCAGTCTGAACAAAGCTTTTATTAAGCAGGAGCGGCCGAAGGATGACCCAGGCAAGGGAAATTACTGGGCCATTGAACCCGGAATGGAAGCCCAATTTCTTAAGGATAAGCCTTTGCGTCGCGCAACCATGTCAAGTCTTCCTCTTCCTGTTACCTCCCAGAGAGAGCCTGCTCACACGCAAAGCTCCAGTACGACAACATGGGCCATTCCTCCACCTAACCACACCTTAGGACCGAAGAGCTCCAAGGATGTGGATCTTTCTTCTGATGCCACGATACCCGCCTCAGACCCTGCTCTTCAGGACGACATGAGTGACGAGGGTGTTAATGCTGCTACATCCCAAGCGCCTCTGCGCTCTTCTCCACCCCAACCAATACGTTCGTCACCTCCTATCGCCCCCCCTCGGTTTATTCGCCAGGGAACACCTCCGACGCCTTCTCATCCCGCATCTTCCGCCATTGTTCCTCACTCTCGCAAACGAGAATCGACCACGATAAATGATAGCGGATACTTCTCTTCCCTGGAGTCTTCAGCAATGCGTCCAAAGAAGACAGGGCATATTTTAACGTCGGACCTGGATATTGACCCTCCTCGTATTAAACGTGGCCGAGCAGAAGAGGAGATTGCTCGAATTCGAAGCTCTTCCCATGATATCAGCCCAAGACGTCCCGGAATGCTCAAAGATACTGGGGTAGTAATCGGGTCTTCGCCGGTTCGCGGTGAATACGTCAGCATGCTGCCGCCTCCTCTAACGCCGGTGATAAAGTTCAAGAAGCCAGCTAGGCCCCCACCGTCTGTGTCTCCCAACACAAACCTTCGGAATCACCGCAAGAAAATCCAACAAATGGTCAATTCTCCCTTAAAACATCTGGGGCTGACAGACGAAGACCTCCCGTGGAGTCCTGCTTTCAGAATCCAAGACGAAACATACACCCCAAGCGACCATCTTCATGCGACTTTCGATGTCTTTGCGGAATCTGCAGAGGAGGGAATCTCGACACTAGCATATGGCTCGCCAGAGAAACGGTCCGCGAAACGTGCTCGAATAGATACCGAAAACCAGACCGGTACTGTCCTTGCTGATATCACTTCTGTGAGTGTCAATAGCAAAACAGGCATGCAGGCTTTGCCGTCTGCCAAGTCTAAGGGTCCTTTGTTCCCCGAATCACCGTCGAAAATGCCTGAACATGGGCGTTTAGGCGATGCCACCCACGACGACTTTTTCTCATTTCATCTCTTCGACGAAAGCCCCGTGGAAGTAGACGGAGTCGACCTTCTGCAAGGCTTTCAGAAGATTGGAAGTTCGAGCAAGGACGAATCTGCGAGATCCAAATCGCACACTTCAAGACCTCAGCTGAACATCAGAAGCAATACTGCTTTGTTTTGAGGCACTTCGAACACCCCTCGATTGAGAGGGACAGACGAAGGATTTTGAATTCTGTTTCACGATACCCAATTTACGAGCTGTTGTTGTAAATTCACGAGCGGCTTAGTCGGCACACTTCATGATCGTTGAAAGGGAATTATGATAGTTAATACTTTGGAGTTCTCAGTCAGTGATTTAGGTCTGGCTCGTTCTCTTTTTGTCTGGTTACAAACTGAACTTTCCTGGAGTTTTGGGTTAAGGCGTGGTCTGGTGTCGATCTGAATTTCCTCTGAACTGTGACGACCCTCTGATGACCTTTATGACTATATTTGTTAGATGTACATGAAACAAATTGTTGATGATTTTAGCTTTTCTATTAAATTTTCTTGCCGGCGCTTAGTTTTGGAGTCATTAAGGATTATTCGAATGTATTCACGTCTTCAACTGAAGAATTTTATAATGGAATATCTCTTAGAACAAAGAAAACTAAAAGAGTTCGGGAAATTCTTGCCTGAATTTGTGAAATCATGAGAGTTATCATATGAGGGGGTATCAAGTCATGTGCTTAGGAAAGAAAAAAGGCTTGTGGGAAGAGTAGTCTGAAGATTAGAGCTAGACAAAACACTCGAGGTCCAGCAGACGCAGAAAGGGTGTCCACAAGTAAGGAGGGAGAGATCAATCAGCCGAAGGAGATATCAACCAACGCAGTCAAACCACAGAACCAGCCTAGGTGATGCTGGATGTCCTCATGTCTGAGTCCTCCACGCGAATGGCGGCGGAAATGAAATAAGTATCAGTCACTGCTTGCGCAGCCTCGACAACCACAACTGACGCATTGAATCATCTGATCCTCCTTCAACTGGGCTTTCGGCACCCGGCATATACACGTCGCATTAAAATTTGTCTCTTTCGTCTGAATGCAGCGGAGACAACAAAGCTATACAATCAACATGTCGACAGTTAGCATATCACTTGTCTTCCACTGTTATTCTGGAAGGTCGATAGACATGGCTCCAGACAGAACATATGATAACCTCTGATTAGGAACTCTAACAATACCTTTTCGTAGCCTTGTTTCTTCCATTTGGCGATGAGGTTGGCGTCCGCATAATTGTTCTTGAGAAGCCATTCATACAACTGCTTTGATATCGCCTCTTTCTCATAATAAAGGTCGTATATGTATCTCGAGCCTACGAAGCAGTCAGCTGATAGCCATCGGTAGCGCCACATCGAGAAAGCTCACGCTGATGACTTATTTGGAAAATGGGCCATAACATCTCATGTTTCTTCTTTCCATCGTGTGGCGCGTTTTCCGCATCTTTCATTTTATTGCTGAACTCCAGCAAAGTGTCCTCTATATCATCGAAGCCTGCGGGTGGTGGTTTACGATTGCGCGAGGTTCGTATCGGAGGCATACTTTCGACAATGATCTTCTAGCGAGATCCGGAGAGGTAGTGCCCAGAAGAATGAGGATGGGATTTCCAAAAGTCTATGATTTTATGAGCAGTCTGGCGGTTTTTGCCTTAGCCTTCCAGAAGACCCGGGGGGGCTATTGTTCCTGAAGGTAGATAATACAAGAGATGGTACGGTACCTCTAGGCAATGGAAAAATGATATCCTGCCATTTCTGCCGCGCCACACCGCTCGCAATCTACATGTTCAAATTGCAAATGAGTAGGTACTGCTGTTTGCTTGTAGTATTAATACTCCGTTCAGACTTCCATCTGCATCTCAAATTCATGATTATTGTCTGAGAAATCATCTGCAACCAGCCCAAAAGTTTCATATACAATAATTTTTCTTCTTCACTATCTCTTGTAGAGAAAATGGATCCTCAGACTCAAAATGATATTGCCAAGCTCAGCGATGCCGACAGAAAGGAACTGACACAATTTCTGGAAAATGAGGCTCAGCGATCCAATATTCAGCAGAGTAAGTGATCTCTCGAGCTACATTCGTCATGATAAATCTTCTTGTTCACGTTGGGGGGCTCAATGTTACCGTCATACCTCCGGAGTAGTATTTGGTTCTCTGAATATTTTTACTGACTCGGTGTCTGAGCAGCTGTTCACCATCTCGCCGATGTCTGCTGGAAGAAATGCATCACCGGAAAGATTTCTTCAGGCCGCCTGGGCCAAGGGGAGGAGAGCTGCGCACAAAACTGTGTCGAACGATGGATGGACACGAACTTAGCCGTCCTCAAGCACCTGGAGACTCTTCGAGGGCAATGATCTAATCTGGATTATTATAAGGAAGTGCATTCCACACAAGTCATGGCAACGTGTGTTTGTCGCTATGTAACGATGCGAGGCAAACCCGGATCGCCAGCGCGAAATGGGAAATTGAGTTTGTATTATAAGTCAGGAAATATAAAGTCTCACAACTTTGTTTTGAATCGTCTACTCATGCTGCTTGTGCATGGCTTAGATCTACCTCGTAACGAGACCAGGCTTGTAAGCTCAATCCGACAGTCTCGAGGACGACTGCTCGACCTACTTAACCTTATAAGATCGGATCTACGCAAAGTAAAGGTCTGGTGAAATCATGCATTCAAGTAATTCCTTTTTCAATTGATCATTCAGCCCTCATTGCAGCACTCGCGGCAAGCTTTTATGACTGATATTTATGAACCACCACGTAAAACAACAAAATTCGCCCAGACCCAAAGAAAACCGTTATCTAGACAATGGCAAGCTTGGTGGCAGCAATGTCCAGAGCATCCACATCAGGGGTTAGCCGAGCGAAGGCCTTCTTCGATCCATCGGGTCTGTAGAAAAATTAGAATAGCGGCTCCAGCAGAATCATTGAAACCACGAAAACCAGTGTCCATACCTGACGAGGGTGTTGACCTTGACAGTGTCGACATCGTACAGCTTCTTGAGGGCCAGCTTGATCTGTCTCTTGTTCGCCTTGACATCCACAATGAAAACCAGGGTGTTGTGCTCCTCAATCTTCTTCATGGCACTCTCAGTGTTGAGAGGGTAAAGGACAACCTTATGGGCATCGAGACGGGGCTCATGAGGGATCGACTTGCGGGGGTACTTGGGCGACCGAGAGAGCTGAAGGGTCTTGGGACGGTGGAAGGTGGTGGAAGTGCGGATCTTGCGAGACTTGTGCGCCTGATTGAACAAAAGACTTTAGTACAGAAAATGGAACATAGGCTTCGCGGACGGATCAGTTCAACATACGCCTGCACCCTTCAAGACTGCCTTGGCAGCAGCGCCAGCCCTTGCGCTGGGCTTGGTCTTGCCTGTTCAATTCAGAAGCTGTCAGTTTCACTGGTGATAAACCCTGAACCAAAAATCTTGACACAATTGGAGATTTTGCCAACACAGTCAAAATCACTGAAAACAAACGACTGGAAAACAGAGAAAAGCCGTTGCGCGGTCGTGACATGTTGCTCCCGCCGATTCGAAAAGGTATAGATTGACTGGGCATAGGTGCGGTGATTTGGCGATTCTCATATATATTCATGTTCACAAACTCGTGCTCAAACCACCGACACATCTGCAATTTCATGGAAACAATGAACTCGCTCAGATTCAACCTACCTTGCTTGTTTTCCACCTTAGGGGCCATGGCTGTCGTCCGGCGCTGTCGTGTTGATTGTCGCAGTGTCGAGAGTCAAATTATTTCGAGAGTATTCGCTTAGCGAAAACCCTACGAGTGACTGTGTGCGTCACCTGACCTCCCCTCGCTGAGAGCATTCGATCTCTTGGCGCTGACTGAACCTGATCCGCTTTCCCCGTCTAAATTCGGCTAGGCCAAAAAGCAGTATTAAGATTTAGGACATAATAATAATTATTAGTGTATTTGTTTTACTAGTAACACTTAGACCATCTAGCAGAAATTCAGAACATCTCAGGTCCAGAATGTGGACATCACGTATATGCAGAAAGTGAGCGCTATTCTTTCTTTCTTGCTTCGATCCTCCTTTTCAAGAGATCCGCCCAAGTCGCCCCAGCCTTGGGCCACCGCGATTGTTTCCGTAGCTTCAAAATACAATGGCTGCCGTCAAAAAGCTTTCAAGGAAGCCAAGACTGCTCTCTCACACACGCCCGCCAACAGTTAGGGCGAAAAATCCAAAACTCTCAGCAAAGGCGACCCGAAATCTCATTCGATCCCATCACCGTCTTTTGAAATCTCGAGCCCAGGCATTAAAAGCAGGCAACGAGGACCTGGTCCGGGAGATCGATGGGCGGATCCAAGCAAATGGTGGCCTGGAGAGCTATCAACTTGCCAGCAAATTGGGACAATCGTTGGAACGTGGCGGCGACTCGAGCAAAGTCCTTGTGGATTGGGTCGCTCCGAGCTTAGCTCAGTTGAAGAATTCGCCTTATAAGCTACGAATGCTTGAAGTTGGAGCTCTAAGTACGGAAAATGCATGTTCTAAAAATGAGCACCTTGATGTCACGAGGATTGATCTAAATGCCCAGGAGCCAGGCATCTTGAAACAGGATTTCATGGATAGGCCTCTGCCCCGCGTTGATGATGATCGATTCCACATCATCAGTCTGTCTTTGGTGCTTAACTACGTTCCGAATGCAACAGGGAGAGGAGATATGTTGAAACGTTGTGTAGAGTTTCTAACGGAGACACCCCCGGCTGGCTCCTCCGTCACCATTCGTCCCAGCCTGTTTCTGGTCTTGCCGTTAGCTTGCGTCAAAAACTCGCGGTACCTGACACCAAGTAGGTTGCAAGAAATATTGTCCAGTATGGGATTCACATTGGCAAAGAATAAGGAGACGTCGAAATTGATATTTCAGCTCTGGGAGCATGACCGACGTGGCAAGCCTCGGCTGTTCAAAAAGGAGATTTTAAATCCCGGGAAGACGCGGAACAATTTTGCTATCAATGTTCAATAAGAAAGGATGCCACGGCAAGTGAAACGGAGGCTATTAGAACGGGCTCAATTCGCAAAAATCATGCCTTCTGGCAAAAAAGCCCAGGCAGTTCCAGTGATCGCCATGACAGATGACGTGACAAGGAGAAACCAGTCCAGTATGCGTTCGCCCATCCCGATCTCCTTACCAAAAATTTTCAGGTAGAATGCGAGAGGCAGTATGATGCAAATTGTGAAACATAACGCAGACCCCATCAAGGCCATGATTTTGTCGAAGGATGGGAATACGATGGCCATCACAACAATTACAACCACCACAAAGATGCGTATGGTGGCTTGGAGTGATCGGCGAAGGGTTTCTGTCAGCCCTTCACGACGATCAGACATCGTGTTGTGGCGCGGTTCGAGTCCACAAAGAACTTCAACAGTGGCGACTAGAGGCCGGCAGCTAAATTTCATCAGTTCCGTGTCTTGGGGCGCCGAGAAACTATCCATGAAGTTCACTCACTTCAAGGGCACTTTGGTGATAGGAATGATTGCAATCAATACTATCACGCAGATAGACAGGGCCTGGGGATATTCAGTCGTCAATAGCACATTGGCTGTGATTTCATCTAAGACACCATCGCCGAACATCAACCATCCCACGATAGCCATTGCGCAATCCAATGAATACTGATGATTATGTTAGCGCTTGACACGCCGGCGGCGTGATGCAATACATACTGTGAATATATATGTCGCCCAAAGGCTCTTGCCGTACTTATGGGGATGCCTCATGTCACGATAGATACACGGGAAGCACGAGTGTGCTCCCCAAGGGGCTGAATTGAGAATAAGTCAAGTCAGCGCACGAGATTCGGACAAAGAAACTGGTAGACTCACACATAATAAGACCAAAACTGAGTGGAAGAGTAGCCCAGTTGTCAGGGAACATTGTGGTTCTGGCCGGTTGACGAAGGGAGCCTGGGCTATCTGGTTTGACCAAACCGTCAATGAATATGATGCTGACAACTGTAGATATTTAGTCCATCGTGCGAGCACCGTTCAGAGGCAGGAATGACACACTGGAAGTACAAGACAGGATGCCTAATATACTCGTGACACTTAGTAGCCGCAAGGGAACGAAGTTGAGCGGCATAAGCATAAACCCGCAAATTATTTTCCATTGTAGGATGCTCAGACCGGGTATCAGAGCATTAAGACTGTCGGCGAAAAGCACAACTAGGGCGACGCAAGCCCCTATCAGCTCCAGACAGAACAAAAGACTCGTCACAATCCGTGCATGATGCCCAAAGCTGATGTAGGCTACATCTGCATATGTCACGAGACTTCGGTCAACGTCTAAGCATTTAGCCAGGATCTTGGCAGTGTACGAAGTCGTCACAGCAGCGAAGAGGAGGAACGATAACCCCAGGAGCCACCCAGCGTATTTCATCGCCAGAGGCAACGACAATAGACCGACTCCAATCAAGACATTGACCGAATTGAAAACCGTTTGCGGCACAGTAGACTGGCCAACAATGACACTCTCTCGCGTTCCATCATCGTGCTGGATTTGTTTGACAAGGAGAGGCTCACCATCGGGAACTACAGTTGCGTTCCGATGTGCCACTTGTTCCCTATGAAATTGTATTGCGTTTCTTCGAGTCGCCTCACTGACCCTGGATGAGATTGTACCGTAAGATGTCCCCAGGCTCCTGTCCAATGACGAGCTAAGGATAGCGGTACTTGGAAACCCCCTTTTTGAGTGATCAGTGTTACCTCCGTCTCCTTCCTCGTCACCATGCAGCAATGGCCGTGTATAATCAGCCTCCTGCCTGGCTGATAAAGAGCTTCGCGATGCAAGATCCTCATTCCACCCCGAAGCCCATTCTTCATCCGGTCTAGCTGCCGCGAACGACGAACGTCGAGGGATAACTTCGGGGAAACAAGCGGCTCGTTGCCATGAGCGAGCAAAATGATCAATGCTGTTGGGGCCGCCCGCAAATCTGAAGCGCGCAGAGAACGAAGACGACCTAGACAAAAACATTAACTGGGAAACATTCTATGAGCGAACTTGATCGTGATATGCGTCACCTTTGTCTCTGCAAATCGTAGTCATTGATCGGACGGCCATCGTAGCTCGTTGAGCTGGCTTGGCTGTAGGCATCGGAATCGAAATTCCTCCCCTCATATGACTGCTGGTCATTGCCGCATGAGTCACCATGATTCTCAGCGGTCGACAATGGTTGCTCCTGCATTGCTCCTTTTTACTTTCTCTTTTCTATTGTATCCTGTCGGTCAGAGTTTCTCCCACAAAATATGGTGGTGGACTGTCGAGGAAGTTGTAGATACAAATAGATAGAACCGAGTCAACAAGGTATTAGCTGTCTTGGTCGTCCTGACAATAGATGTGCAAATCGTGGATTGTTGACTGCTCGAAGACTGTATCGAATGTACCGACAAGAGCATATATATAACGGGGAGACAGCGACATTAGACAAATATGCATTGTAGTGGTTAAGATAAAAGCTACTCCGTAGAGCAGGCTTGGTGAAGTGGGGTCTAATATCAGTAAGTACCTTACCTATGCTGGTAGATAAGAAGCCACCACATAACATGACCTAGAAATTAATCATCATATATTCAGATAATGATAATACAATGGACAGGGACTGGTATTAAATATTGATAAATGACAGCAGAGCATGAAAACGAGGGTGAAAACCAAAAGATCACAGGGATTGATCATGGAGAATCTTTAACAGAGAGAACCTTGAGCTCTGGTATTATGTATTTCAAAGAGCAAGAAAGAGATGATTATCAGAGCCACGAGGACATTGACTTGAGGAAGATCCAGTTGCCTAAACCACCCATCCGCAATGGCCTTTTGTGCATACATATTATTGCTTGCATGAAGTACTCCGTTCATCAACATAGCTAATATCATTAATGTATATTATTGGTACAACCCGCTCGCTGTGCCTCCAAGATTAGGCTTATGTCATCCTGGAAAAACAGGCGACCGACCCATATTGTCTGTTCCCTGCCACCCCACGGTGCCTGATGAAATTTGCTCCAACACCCCCGCTGGACCTGGACGGCAAATTGACCAGCTTTAAGGTATGTGACTCGATTGCTCCTTTCAGTCTCTTCTTCTTCTTTTTTTTTTTGTCTCAACTAAATACGAATTCGTCCTTAAAAAATTAAGAGGCGAATTTCTTCCGGCTTCTCTATCTTCTACCGCTAATAATAATCTTTGCCAGCATTAGACTGTTTAGACTGTCAAATTGTGAACCCTATTCTGCCTCTGGTCGTCAATTACCGTCGCCTCGCCCAACATGAGCGCGGCTCAGCCGAACGAAGCTGAGAAGAACATCGAAATATGGAAGGTGAAGAAGCTTATCAAGCGCCTTGAGGCTGCTAGGGGAAATGGAACCTCGATGATTTCTCTTATCATTCGTGAGCCTCTTCACATCCGCCCTTTTGCTCGATGCGTCGCTAATGTGAATCCTCAGCCCCCAAAGATCAAGTCTCCCGAGCGGCAAAGATGTTAGCTGAAGAATTTGTATGTCCAATTCCGTGGAGTCTGTATTTATGTCTAACTGCTCACTGACGGATGTGGTAGGGTACCGCTTCCAACATTAAATCTCGCGTCAACCGCCTCTCTGTCCTTTCAGCCATCACTTCTACACAGCAACGTCTTAAGCTGTATAACAAGGTTCCTCCAAATGGCCTGGTGATCTACTGTGGTGAAATTATCACGTCAGAAGGCAAGGAACGAAAGATCAACATTGACTTCGAGCCATTTAAACCTATCAATACCTCGCTCTATCTTTGTGACAACAAGTTTCATACAGAAGCTTTGAGTGAGCTCCTTGAGTCGGATCAGAAGTTTGGCTTCATTGTAATGGATGGAAACGGCGCCCTCTTCGGCACACTGAGCGGAAATACCCGAGAAGTCATTCAGAAGCTAAGCGTTGATTTGCCCAAGAAACACGGTCGTGGTGGTCAGTCCGCGTTGCGTTTTGCCCGTCTGCGTGAGGAAAAGCGTCATAACTATGTGCGCAAAATTGCCGAACTGGCTGTCCAAAACTTCATCACGAACGACAAAGTGAACGTTGCGGGCCTGATTTTAGCAGGTTCTGCTGATTTCAAAAATGACCTCAACCAGTCAGATATGTTCGATCAGCGTTTGCAAGCCAAGGTCATCAAAGTCGTGGATGTCTCTTACGGCGGAGAAAATGGTTTCAACCAAGCTATTGAACTCTCCTCGGAGACTTTGAGCAATGTCAAGTTTGTGCAGGAGAAGAAACTGATTGGCCAGTACTTCCAGGAAATCAGTCAAGATACTGGAAAGGTCTGCTATGGTATTGATGACACTTTGAAGGCGTTGGAACTCGGTGCCGCAGAGACCCTCATCGTTTATGAGAACCTCGACGTGACTCGATATGTTCTCAAGACGTCAACTGGCTCCGAAGTCATCGTCCATGCCACCAAAGCTCAAGAAGAGAACAGAGCGTTGTTCACCGACAAAGAGACTGGCACTGAGATGGAAGTTGTTGAGCAGACTTCGTTCCTCGAGTGGCTTGCCGAGAACTACAAAGATTTTGGTGCTACGCTGGAGTTTGTTTCAGATAAGTCCAGTGAAGGAAACCAGTTTGTGAAGGGATTTGGTGGAATTGGAGCACTCTTGCGGTACAAGGTCAACTTCGAACAGCTGGCCGATCTTGATGACGAAGATGAATTTTACGACGGTACGTCTTGAACCCTAAAAAAATTTATCATGCATGCTAACACAGGGCATCTATGCAGATTGACGGTTCAGCGGCCTCGCAGAGAGCGAGGATGAACGGCCAGAAGTTTCCAATATGGATCTTTTGACGGCTCGCCCTGTTGTTCGTGAAGGTGGCTTTCATGGTGAACCCGTGGCTACTTTGGCACGTACCGCGCTGTGGTCTGGACAAAACTCTATAAAGCTGCTCAGAGGTTTGTCTATAATCCATGTCTGACATACACTTTGGTCCAGGAACCGAGTCTGACAACAACGCATCAGGGCCATCCAAGCTTCGTAACATGGTCACTGAGTCTACCTAGTTTTCTCTGGGTCGGCCCGCAGTGTACCTTGCTGAAGAATGGTGGATCTGTCGTGCAGAACTCAGCCGTTCACAAAACATGGTCGGGCTTAGAACTAAGCTGGCGAAATTGAGATTGTTCTTTTCTGGCACAGTTTACTGGGTCGAAATTCCTTCCATTTACGCTCGTTATTTCTGCGTTCTCTATGTGACCAACGGCAACTAGCAAGCACCACGGTATTTGCCAGACTGGCTCTGTTCGCGATGAAACACGAATGTCTTCCTCTAAGAAAGTTGCCGTTCCGTATATAGAAAATCATATCTGTGCTTTCCAGGGATGTCAGATGAGATAGCATGTAACATGTATCAAACGCTGCTAGTTGAAAGCTGGTCTTTCCAAGTGCCAAGATGCCTGCAGCCCTCAGTAACCTGCTGCATCTTATCCAGAATTGTAGTAACCCCCTGGCTATTCTGGTCCGTAGGGAATTGTTGGCATTCGACAAAGAACACATATTGCCAAGCCCTTATCTGACTCGGTCGCGTGTTGATGCTGGTAAGATTCATACCAAAGTCCTTGAATATCAACAGAGCGTCTGCCAACGCCCCTGGAAAATCCTGACGGATTCTGAACGAGATCAGAGTCTTTTCCGCAGACGGTGTGAGCCGGGGATTTAAACCGACTGACGGCGCCTTCAAAGCGTCAAATGGAAGCCGGGCTGTACGTTCTGACTTTGTGTTCCTCAGAACGAGGAATCGCGTTGTATTGTCGGCCTTGTCCTCAATATTTTCCGAGAGTACATCTAGGCTGTGGTAGTCAGCAGCGAATCGGCTAGCTATGGCACCACTGTGTTCTTCTGTCTCGAGTGAGACCATCTCAGCAGCTTTTGAGGTTGAAGAAACGTCCTGCCTTTCGATGCCTTTTAAGAATTTCGCCAGGAAATTCTCACATTGACCCCATGCCTGGGGATGTGTATAGAGCTTCGTTATTGACCTTATATCCGGTTGCGACAGGGCCTTTCGAACCAGCAGGCAGTGGTGAACTGTCAAATAATGCTCTCCGCATACATTCACATCTTCGTAGAGCCCATATTGATCTGCTAAAAGATCAAGATTCTGGACAACTGATCCGTTGGTCGAATTCTCGACAGGGATGATGGCATAGTCTGCTTCGCCCTGCTGAACTGCGGCGAAAGCATCCGCGAACGATAGGCAGGGTGACAACTCAGCCGAAGATCCAAAACACTCAACGGCAGCCTGTATCTCCACATTAATGATGTTCCGAGGTTTATGATGAGCTCACCATTCCTGACCTGATGGGAAAAGGACGCTGCAGGGCCAAGAAAAGCCACTCTGATCGGCTCCATGAATCCCTGAAACTTGGTCTCTTCCTTAGATTCTCCGGAACAATTAAGGAGGGGGTTTCCAACTTTGTCAGTCAAGCCCCAGTGAGCTCCAGCATTTCTGACTTGTGAGTTACTCGTAGCTGCGGACGAGTCCGTCAGAACAAACAAAACAAACAGCAGCTCCAAGTTCGCTGCCACAAAGCCTAGGACATGCAAGGGCTCGAGTCATCATGTTACTGTTGGACTGATCACATGAATCTGGCATCACTAGATGAAAGCAAATACAACCGGCCTCCCATTCCCATTGGGACGGCTATACACAAGCACCAAAATGCGAACTTACTCAACATTCTCTGGAAGCTTGCGCCAGGAATTGATAGCACGACGACTTCCCTTAATATATGACTATCTTCATCCCCAACCGTCTCATCTCTTGAACCTGACTTTGATGGATATCATTCCACACTGGCAGCACACAGGGTACAAGCATACGACCCTCCCCTCGATTAAGCGACCCCCACCCCTGAAGCCAGGGCATCATTTAGTCTACTTTCCTCCTCAAGTCACTCTATCTCAAATACTCCCTGACGGTACTGATACTTTGCATTTCCCGGGGCAGCCATTTATCAGGCGTCTTTGGGCTGGTGGAAGGGTCAGATTCCCATTGATGTTTAGTCCTCTCCTTGATGGCAGTCGAGCTGTCTGCATTGAAACAATTCGGGACGTAATAGTCAAAGGCCATCAAGGGGAGGAAAAAATTTTGGTCGATATAGAGAGACGTATTGGCACGGTCAAGGAAGACGCGGCGGAGGAGAGTATCAGGGGGCGTTTATGGAGTGACAACGCGAATGAAGACCGGGAGTCATCAGTTATCGAAAATAGAAGTCTTGTTTTTATGCGCCAAAAGACCACACAGCAAATCGAAGCAGATAAAGGGGTCTTTGAGAAGGTTCGCAGGAAAATTCAGCGTAATTGAGACCAAACCAAGATTTGCTTTCGAGGACGTACTGACTGTCATTTTTAAAGCTCCCTCGGACGCCGAATTTCGCCATAAGATCAAACCCAGCAAGGATTTATTATTTCGATTTTCAGCACTCACATTCAATGCACACTCTATTCACCTTGACACATCTTATACCCGGAACGTTGAAGGTTACCCAACCCTCCTTGTTCACGGCCCACTGACTCTCACATTGCTCCTCACAGTTTTGCAGAGCTACTTAGTGGAGTCTAACTGCGCAATCAGTGAGATAGAATATAGAAATCTGTGTCCTTTATACGTTGACGAGGACTTAACCATCTGCGGTAAGCCCAGATTCGACAAGGGAAGCGGAGCTTGGGATGTTTGGATTGAAGGAAACAATGGGGGACTGGCGGTCAGAGGCACTGTGAAGACAAAGAAGTGTGAAATTTCGCGGTGATAGATTTGACAACTGACAATGATCACATTGTGCTTGTATCGCGAATGGCAATGAAAGTGAAGCTTGTCCCAAACTGCCGGTGCAACAACGGAACTAATACAATGCGAGCGACCAATGGACCGCTTCTTGACGAGAGCTTCTATCTCTTGATCGAAAACTTGAGACTTACCAAATGTCCTCGCTTCCAGTCACTAGCACAGTTCGTGATGAGCATTCGATGCTAAGTCATTAGCCTCGAAATGTTGGGTCTGTATACGGGCCTTGTCGCTCGTGCGTTTGTGCTTAGAAGGAAAAATAAAGGGAAAGAAAGACTTTGATCATGTCAAGAGTACAGAAGAAGGGTTAGTCCCTACCAGGCCATCTTGACTTGAATTCAAGCACAGGATCCTTAGACAAAATACAGTTCGGCATTAAATAGCTGGAGCACTACTCATCAGGCATAGCTCTTTATTCCGTCTAACAAAACCCTGCTGAAAGCATCAGCCACGACGTTTAGGTACCAGCCCTATGTAAAGAGAGACGGAAGGTAGAAAAGCTAATAGTTTGTTTGACGATGATAGAGTGCTGTTCTGTATGAGAGGTCATGGTAAGAGTGCTGTAAGTCATGTATTTGCACGTGACCCTATACCTCTCAAGGTACCAATAAAGTGGGTCTGTTCGTCTAACGGAATGGAAAAACTTTATCAAGCAGAAGCTAATTCTTGCACACGTTTTATTCCTTGGAAGCAAAATCTCCTTCTCTTACCTTTTGATATAACTTGTCAATGGCATTAAGTTGAAATACTTCCCAAAAATCTGCCGCTATTCTGTGATATGTAAACTGTGATTCTTCTAACAATACAGTCAGGCAGTGGGAGCCAATTTACAATCCTACTCACTAACATGGATCGTTTCTGGTCTGCTCCTCCTGTCACGAGGTACTCCTCTACCGCCTTGAAGTCATTATCTTGAGGGATCCTGTCTAACGTTTGATGACAGGACGCTTACTGCTCTAACATTTGCTCAATCAGCTCTGGTTTATGGTGGCCTGCTGAGTGGCTATTATGTTGTCTTCATTCCGCGGCTGATTTTCAGGCTTCCGCCTCAGTTATGGAGATTGTTTTCACCTTTCCTTCTGACAGGATCGGGTCTTTCCTTCATATTCGATCTTTACTTTAGTACGACTTCATGTCGGACTGGTCCTTAGCCACGCTAACCTGCCATTAGTGTATACCTATGGCAGCGCACTTGAGACAGGCTCACCCCGTTTCAGTTCGCCTGGTGACTTCTTCACCTACGTTTTATTCGTAGCCTTTGTTATCATGGTAAGTCTAGAGGACAAGTATCGGATGGGCCATCATCCGATGGAAAGCCACCACACTTCCTCAACGTTTCCTCATCTCTACAAACCTTCTCTTTGAACCTAGCATAGTCACCTCGCGTTATCTGCCCGCCCAGTCTCAACTAGCTGAAGCGGTTCCTGGAAGCGAGGAAGATCACCCCTGCATCCCATACAGCGCCTCTCATTGATCCTATAGGGCTGTATGCGTTGTGGGTATGGTGGGAAGACCACTGAGATAGCCATCGTGATTAAATAGTATCACGTTGGTGGTTATGGTGCCCTACATTCCATATACTCTTCTATCTGTAATGTCAATCATGAATTGTTATACTCTCCTGAAACCTGTTCCATTTTCTACCTTTGAAGTAGCCTTGATCGAGTACACAATGCTGATGAATCGAAGGTCACCGCAGGTTACTTCTTAAGTGGCGTAATCTTCACCTCGGGTGAGCCTAACCTGGCGAATCGTGTTTTCACCCATGCTAACTTGCGACAGCTCTCATCCTAGCATTTGTGTATACGTTTGCACAGGACAATCGGGGGAAAAGAGCAACCTTTATTATCATTCAGATACCCATCGAATACTTACCCTGGGCGATGCTCGTGCTCACTCTGGTCATGGCCGGGTGGCCCGCTGCATTGAGCGAGGGCATGGGAATCATCGCTGCCCACTTGTATGATTTCCTCACACGTCTTTATCCGACCTTCGGCGGAGGGAGAAACTACCTCACCACGCCAGCTTTCGTAAGGAGATTTTTCGCCGCCTACGCCCCTAGAGGTGAATACCGGACCTATGGAACAGCTTATCGGCCAGCGGGCCAAAACTCCCCTTCCTCGTCAAGTGGCTGGGCTTCATCCTTTCAGGGCTCATGGGGTGGAAGAGGGCCAGGGCGGAGACTTGGTGGTAGCTAATTTGGCAGGAAACAGACCTAGACTC